CACACTGTTTTGGTTACCCCTGACCTCCATTGTACAGGTCAAAGAAGAAATATATATATTTTTAATGTTCCTCAGAGGAAAGTCTAATGGGTTTGGAACGAGATGAGGTGAGTAAATGATGACAGAATTTAAATTTTTGGGCAAACTATCCCTTTAACTTGGAGACATGGCTCGCCTTTCATAAAATAAACTCTTATTTTCTAGATTTAACTTCATATTAAATGTTTTCAGTCATTACAGTTCATAACTCTTACCATGTAAAACTGTAAAAACAATTTAAAACTGCAAACTGTCTTTATGTGTTGAATTCTACAGCTTTTTCAAAGAACGTGAACAATTTTTAAAAAAGTGTGTGTGGTGGGAACAATAAAAATATTATTGCCAGAGATTTACCATCTAATTAATGTTATAAACATTACTTAAAGGTGTGAAACGTGACGCTTTCTTCACTTGCGTATTTACCGCTAATTAGAGAATAAATTGAACCTCCGCCCTGAGTATCAAACCATTAGACCTGTTATCCGTGTAGAAATTAGACCAATTAGACAATTATCGGTGTCAAAAACAATGGGTCAATCAACTAATTTACAACAAATCACCCACCGTAATCACTGGCAAACAAGGCATCTTCAGCCATCGTGTTGCGCACACGCACAGACCTCTATCCGTAAACTATATATTAAAGTGATTGAGCTTGAGTGAAGCGCAAACTCGAGCCTGAGTATTGATTGATAACCTGCAGACGCGGCTCAGGTTACATCACGTGACATGCACACCAGGCGTGTTTCCGTCAGGTTCAGTGTCACACTGTTGCAATCATGCGCGCTTGACCTTCAGTAATATTCCTGTAATTTCACTTGTCTTGAACAGGGTTGTATTCAACAATATCTGTCCTCGTAAGCACTGTGGTAGACTTAAATGTTATATTTTCATTGTTTGTAGATTAAATGATATTGAAAAAAAAAACAGTCTACGTATATGCCTATAATCATAAGGACTGATACGGTTTGTGTATATATATACATTTTATTAGTTATTGACTGCAACAACAAAAACGTCTTCATTTTAAATTAATTGTTGACTCATCTGACCTTATTTTTCTTTGTGAAATTACTTAATGGGTCAAACTTAATTTAATTCTGGAGCACACATATTTTGCTTTCATATAGCCTACACTTTATATTAGATCACAAGGGTTCAGTTCAAAGAATAAAAATCTGGAGTTCACAAACAAGCTAAAAACTTGATCTGCAGCTATCCGGTGTTATTTTAGTATCATTGAGGTACTATTAGTTTTTATTAATATTTTTCATTTTCATGTTAATTCTAATTATTTTTAAATGTCTATAGGCTTGTTTTTTTTAATTATTATTTTATTTTGTATTTATTTTAGTTCAAGTTAATCTAAATAAAGATGAGAAATCTTGCTTTGTTCACTAGTTAGCTAGTTTTAGTGAACCCTGTTCCAAATTCAGTGAGTGGTATTCAGTCCACGCATCCTCTCAAACGTTTATTTTGATTTTTTTTTAAAAATACATTTTACCTTTGTGTAAAACTCCTGGTAGCCTGATCAATTAATGATGGTGATGTTAAAATTGTTGCTGATGTTGCTTCTAGTTCATACATGACGGCAAATTAACTTAAGTCAAGCACATTGCATAGTAGGATGCAGAATTCTAAGTACTTAGTATGCATACTACAAGAATAGTATAGTAGGCTACTATGTTATTCCACCATAGCCAGCTTCAGGCTTTTAACCAATTAAATCACAGCAGCTACAGAGATAACCAATCAGGTTTTATTTAGAATAGAGTGGCATACTAGTGACAGAACTTTGCCTCTTTATACACAGATCAACCAATGAGAAAAAAAAGAAAAACAAAACAAGTTCTTTAAAAAAATGTGCATGTATAAAACCACGCTGGGCGACTGTCAGACCAGGACCATGCTGGTCTGTGATTGGCACACAGACACAGGAAGGCCCGCCTCATATTTGGCTATGAATAGAAAGAGTGACAGGTTACAGGTAGAAATGAGTAGAAAAGACCGCAATGCAAACTCAAAGTTCCACTGATGTCCATAACATTAACACACAGTGACCTCCACATGCTCCAGAATGGACAGGTGCATGTTTGTTGTTGGGAGGTGGGGGCTTCACAAGGACATGTGAATGTGTTGCTCACAAGATTAGATTGTAGGAGTGGTGGGGTGAACGCTGTGAAAGATCAAAATATTAAACCTCCAGCACCAACAGCTTGTTTTGTACAAAAAAATGTTAAACAATCATCACGTCTTAATACCTGAATTTCACATACTAATTGTAGGCTTGCAACTATTTGTTTAGCATGCAAGCAATTGATTAACATTATTAAGTCAATATTCCAATTAGACACTAATGATTGCTGAGGTTTTGTGAGCATTGATTGTTAAAGCCAGTCTCTTAGACACAACTGAAGACAAATCCTGAACTAATAGATAAATTTTTTGTAATGAAGGTTATTGTGTTTCACTTTTTAATTGTCATTTAAAATAATGAAACAAAAACATAAGTATTATAATTATTTTCTCAATAATTACAAATACTAATAATTGCATTATTTTTTTGCAGTATATTTATAACTTTCTCTGTGTTTTGTTGTTGTAGATCAGTTGCAAATTCATTTCTATCTTTGTTTGGTCTATGTGGTCTATGTTAAAGCCTCAAGGTTAAAATGCTTCATGTTTTTCATTGTTTCACGTAAAAAGTGACATAATTATGCAAACATTTACAAGTCTTTATTTTACATGTGAATATATAGTGGTGTAATGGCATCGCTGCTATTCTTTAGACATCTACTAGGTGGTGTACTTATTCAGTAGACTGAATATTACAGAACAGACAGCCAAGTAGAAAATGTGAATATTGGTAAAAGAAACCCCCAAATATCGGTCAAACCGATTATCGGTCTGTAACTTTTATTCAGTGTCCAGGAGACTGGCCCTTACTATAGTAATTTAATTAAAGGTGTGCTGTGATGGGTCAGAAATCACTCTATGTCCTATTTACAAGGCCGAGGCTGTGATGCTATGTAACATGTTTTGTGTGTTTGTGCAATTGTCAGTGTCACAGAGCAATTTAAGTGCAGGGAGAGGAGAATATGTCCCCACAACGGAAGAACTATTGGGGAGTGAATCACACTTGCAGATGCATTAAAACAAGCCAATATTCACACATACATACTCACGTACACTGTCAGGACATGATCATACAGAGTACAATATTCAAGCTACTGGTACTGTTGCACAGGTGTGACATTACAATCATAGACTGAAGTACAACCACCCCGTATGGGTCTCAAGATCTCCCCCACCTTCCTAAAATATTCCATGGAGAACAGTGTGGCATCTTGAATGTGCTCTAGGAGACACACTCAGTTGAATATGCTTGAGTGTAAAAAATCATGACCATGCATTCTAAACGCATGATTTGTGATATAACAGGATGCATTATTTGATGTCACGTTTCAGTGTTATGGCAGCTTTACCCTCAGCAATATGTTTATAAACGGGGATGGGTATAATTCTCCATTACTATGAATATAAAAAGGAAATTTCAGGGACGGAGTGCTGATACTGTGCACACACCGTCCAAGATTGGATATAGTACATTTACATGATCAGATATTTAAAATGATATGTGTTAAGACAAGTTGTCATCATTTCAGCGTTTTGCTAACATCTTGTGCTACAGCTGCGAGTCACATCACATGACATGTCACATACATTCTGAGCATGTCAACCACAGAGACTGTTGTTGATAGCTTGTTATTGCTAATTCATGCATTTCTAGTCATTTTGTTTTTATGAATTAAATGTATCCTGACACGGACATCAAATAAAACACAATAACAGAGGAAAGAGTGATAGTAATTTTGACTATCACTGAAATCGCACTACTTAATCAACACGTTCCTACAACATCCGTCTTGAGCATGACCGTCCATCAGGGTTGTTTGTGTGGCATGTATGCGAGTGGAAATTTCTCCAATTGTGAGTGAATGTGGCGGTGAGAGAGACTAACCTTGTGCTTTCAAAACAAAAACCGGACGCTTGACTAATGACTGGTGAAATACTAATAAACCTGAGCAAAGGTTTCAGCATTTCTCCAGGTTAAACTGACAAAAACTGGATAACGATAGCATATGTGTCTGTGTGTGTTTAATTTTTTACTACAATAGCATGGTTAAAAGCTTGACAAAAATAAAAAGTTGTGTTGATATTTACACCGATAAAACCTTACTGCACAGCTAAATAGATAATATCCTTCACTACGAATATTATGATCACCATTTTCCTTCCTTTCAGAGCTGCTGATATATTATTGATTATTACTAATGATTACTAAAGTCTTTATACAGAGCAGAGGAGAGGCTATTCCTCTGATTCTATGCATGCGCTCCCTCACAGCAAACCTTCAGTGTTTTTAATGTGCTGTGTACGTGTTTCGGGCTCCCTGCTCCAATCGGCCGGTACCGTCGTGCTGACACACGCTCTCACCAGCAGAGGGTGTCGGGCCGAGTGTGTGCACCTGTGCGTGTGTGTGTGCGCGTGAGTCTAGGCTGGGGTCACATGGGCACCTTAGACATACAATCGCACACATATGCACAAGCACACACACAAACGCTCGCTCTGCTCGAGCTCTGTTTCTAGCACCAGGGAAATGGAAGGCACCACACAACGTTGGATCTATGACCTTGGTGACAGAAGAGCATTTCGAGTACAGACTCCAAATTCCTCCTCTATTTCTGCCATGCAACTCCTATTTCTGCTCCTTTTTCTCCCTCTCACTTGACTTTCACAATCCCTCCATGACCCCAACAATGTTCATTTCTTCTCCCTCATTTTTCATGCTGTTTTTTTTTTTGCTCCCATAATATTGTGCAGGAAACACATCTGAAACGCAGTGTCTTTACAAAAAAAGATTCAGGTCATAATTTCATAGAACAACGATCCTAAACAAGACGGGACAAGGTTGGAGAGATGAAGGAGGTTGTACGTATGGATGTTAGGCGTAGAATTCTTCCTGCCTGTCTGGTTTCTGGTAGGTGACGGTGGCTTGTTTAGGCTCCTCCAATGTGTAGCTGCCTTCATCTTTCTTTTTCATCCGGTAGACGAGTAACATTACGAGGAATGCTGCGAAGAGTGCTCCGACTACACCTCCGACAATCACCGCTGGAGAAAGAACAAGAGACATTGATTACTTACAGCATTTCAAATTCAAATCATTATGAACACTTCAACAACAATTATGTTCTCTCCCACCATCCATAAATGTGCAAATGTCTCGGAGTCAATGACAAAAAAAAGAGTGTTCAAGATCAAAAATATGAATTTAAATCTTTTTTCTTTTTTTTTTTTTTATCAAGTCCTATCTTTTCATATGGTTTTGGGGGAGGAAATAATAATAAATGGCTATTTATAATATTTTAACAAAAGTATTATAAAAAAGTATAATATTTGTACAATTTCCTAAGAAATAATAACAGATTACATTTTATAATTTATAAAAATATTTTTATAAATGAATACAATACAAGTTTATTTCAGAAATGTAAACATTTGTTTTAAAATTTAATTTAAAAATGTAAAAACATGTTATTAAGGAATTCAAGCATTGCATGTATAAACTGAAATTTTAATATATTTTTAAACAAATCAATAGGACAATAAATAAATTGTTATGACATTGACCCCCCATCTCATTATGCTGAAAATCAGTCAAAATTTAGGGGATGCAATGCCAACAATAAGCACAACTACAAATGAACTCTTCTGAAGGAGACAGCTGATTTCAGTTTCATTGATGTATTTGAACCAAACACACTGCATGATAAAAACCCAACCAATGAAAAGACAGATAAATAAAGACACAGACAAACAAACATAAAACACATTTAATCAAGGCAGGGAGAGTTTTATCTGCGAAAATCGAAAATTCAAAAAACGAGCTAAAATCCAACTAATTTCACACTATAGCCTGCGACTCCTACATCTTTACCTATGACCAGGAAGTCTGCAAATACAAAGGCAAACAGTCCTCCAATCAGAATGGCTGAGGAGAGAGAGACAGCATATCAGATGACAGAGAGAGACGAGAGGGGAGATGGAAACAGAGAGGCAGCAAAACAAACAGAGAAGGTGAACGTGAACAAGGAAAAAAGATAAAGAGCAGAAGACCGTGTTCTCCTCAGAGAGCTAAAATAAAGTCCACTGGAGGCTCTTGCTTGAGATCATAAGAGCAAGCTTTTGTTAAAGGGATAGGACAGCAAAAATATAAATCATTTTTGGGTGAACTGTTCTTTAAACAACTGTTACTCCAAACATAATACTCCTACTAATAATATTGCTAACAACTAATGACTAGCTTTTGTGAAATGCTATTTCATGCTTGAACCTTGAACACAATATCTATTACTGTTCAAACGTTTGGAGTCAGATGGTGGAAAAAGATGTTTTTCTTTTCTCAAAGAAATTAATACTTTTATTCAGCGAGGATGCATTGAATTGTCAAAAGTGGCAGTAGAGACATTTATAATGTTACAAAATATTTCTATTTTAAATAAATGATGACCTTTATTCAGCTTTGCCATCACAGGAATAAATAACATTTTAAAATATATAAATAAAAATGGTTATTTTAAATTATAATAATATTTCACAACTTATATTTTTACTATGTACTTTACTGTTTATCTTAGTGCACATAAGAGACTTCTTTCAAATATATATATATATATATATATATATATATATATATAAATCACCAACCACAAACTTTCAAACAGTAGTGTATATGTTAAGCTGTACAATAATGCCATAAAGTTTTTCCGCAATAGGACTTTCAGTTCAGTGTGGTCTATTAATCTTATAAGCAACAGGGAGACAGACAAAAACATGTACAAAAATAAAAATTGAAAGATATATACAAGACAAATAGACAAACAGGTTTAAAGACAGAAGCCAAAAAACCAGGAAAGACTGAACTGGGTTGTGGGAGTAGGTTTGAATGTGTCAGGCATCCCTCACCTATCAAAACTTCCTTCCTCTCAAGGATGTTCTTCTGTGGAAGTTGAGCGGCTGAGCTTCCAGCAGCATCTACTGTGTTACCAGTCAAGTCTGGTTCTCCTGCCACGCCAGGCTCCCCTTTGCCTCTCCTGACCTCGTTGCCTTGGCGACCTTCATTCTCACGGATTTCAAAATCACTTGGACTTGGTCCTGCAACTTCATTATTTACAGCTTCATTTGGTGTTTGTGTCTAAATGAGGAATAAAAAAAGAAAGGAAAAATTATGCCCCTTCAAATTTGCACAACAGATCATGTATAGCGGAAAAGAACATTTCCAGAGAAACAGAGGAAAACTGCTGACCAACTTCTGTAGAAATTCTTGGGATTAATATATTATAAACTTGGTTTTTGAGAGTAGAATTAGCAAAGATGTCTGATAAATCATCTGATGAAAGTGTGGTAACTAAATCAATGAAATTAATTCACAAATGACACAACAAATAATGCCACTCATACTTTGTTCTTTTTTTTTGTCATAAATGTCCAAAAACCTTTTGGGGCGACTGCTTTAGATCCCAAAGGGAATAAGAGAATACTTACGGAGCAAATCATTCATGTCAAAAGCAATAATGGGATTAGGGATGCACATTATATTGGCACCATATTGGTTATTGGCCAATGTGGCAAGATTTTTTTTATTAAATGGACCTATACCTATCGACAATTGATATTTAACTGTGCATTTCCACTATTTTAACAGTTAGATTGCCTTTGCTCACATCTAATGCTCACTTAAACTTAATCTTTAAAATTAATAATTTAACAATACTGTAATATTCAAATAATACTTATAAATGTAATCTTTAACAAGTCTCAAAATAAATATCCCGTTTGTAGATTTTGTTGTGCTGCCTAAATTCACTTGAAGCATTTTAAGATTTTAATTTGTAGTGTTTTATGTTTAATTAAAGATTAGATAATTCTTAAATTAATTAAGATTTTAATATCTACCATTTATTAAAAATAATTACTTGCTCAGTATTGGCTGGAATTTTCATACTGGTGCATCTCTTGGAATATTATTTATTTGTTAATTTTATTTATGTATTTAATTAACTTAAGACATATAGAATAACTAATTTTTTATATCTGCCATTTATTTAAAATGATTGTCAGGATATCTGTATTAGTTAGAACTAGATAGATAGATAGATAGATAGATAGATAGATAGACTTTCACTACTGGCTTATCTGTATTGGCCAGAGTTTTCATATCGGTGCATCCTTGCATGTAATATTGTTTCTTTTTTATTTATGTATACTGAGGACTATCTAACCTGTGTTGTGGTCATCACTGAACGAGTGCTGCTCTCAGTTGGGGCGGCTCTACTGGGGGTAGCGTGTGGTTTCCGGGGTCGTATGGGGGCGGTGCTCGGAGTGGTCGGGGCAGGACGTGGTCTGGTTGGCTTAGCAGTGGTGGATGCAATGGTGGTTGGGATGACCTCAGTGGTTGTGATGTCATCTGTTGTCGTCTCCGGTGTGCTTGATGGCTCTAACATGATGGTTTCTGTAGTAATGTATAGATCCTCCTCTTCTTCTGTGGTGGCGAGGTCCTCCGGGTCACTAGTGGCCACCGTAGTCTCACCCAGAGTGGTGGATGAGTCCACGAACACTAGAGGAACATCAGTCAGCCGGGGGGCAACCGTAGCTTTCGATCTCTCTTGTTCCTCCTCTCCGTCTTGCACTTTATCAGCACCCAACCTTATTACGATCTCAGATTCCTGTTCTCTATCCTGTTCCTTCGCCCGTCTCATTTCCTCCTCCTCAAGCTCCTCCCACTTTTTCTCAATCTCCATCTCCAATTTGCTGTCTCTGTCTACATCTTGTCCCAAGCCGCTCTCGCGTTCCACCTCAGGTGGAGGTGGGCTACTTGGCTCGGCGGCGGGGGAGGCCGAGGGGGCAGGGCCAGTGGCCTGTGTGGTAGAAAGTGGGAGGGGCTCTTCTGTTGTGACCGCCACACCTGCTGAAGTTGGACTAACGTCTATATCTGGAACTGGAGGCGTAGAGAAAGAGCAATGAAAACACGGTGAGACAGGGTGAAGGAGATCAATACTCACAGCCATTTTAGACCGTGTTAATGTGTCATATGATACCTAGCAAAAGCGTCTGCAAGGCTTCAAAGCAACCTTTGGATTGGTCAGCCCAGGAATGTGAACATCCCCATGGCAACACATGAATAAAATATCAATAACCTTGGTAAGAAATACACATGCACACACACTAGAAACAAAGAACAAAGCAAGCGCCACTGCAACACACAAACTCTGCTGATAAAGCGCACACACATAGACAGTGGTTCTTTACCTACAGGCATTCTTATGTCCCAAGGGTTGATTTTTATTAAAACTAACCGATTTCAACAGATAACAGATTTTTCTTCTTTTTATGAAATGAAGGCCACATTAATATTGTCTTAGAAACTTCACCTTTATTTTTTGCTGTTTTATGTTTCAAATGCTTTAGGAATAGATTTTATTGTTTATCCTTGACCTTGATGCTTAAAAATTATGAAAGGCCATCATAACAATAAATATATTTTAAAAACTATGATAATCTAAACGTACTAAAATGATCAGAAACTACTTCAATGTTTAGTGAAGATGTTTCATTTATATAATTAATTTTTACACATACAGAATTATTACAAGTTGTGATGTCATTTTTACCACGAGTTGTTAGTGTAATGGAAAAAAAGGTCAATGTTACCCTTTTTACATTTTGTTTTACATTATCTATATTGTTGATTTTTCAATCAATTGCAAAAACTATGCAAAAAGACTATTAAATGTATGAAAATGAGCTGTTTATTCCATTTTAGTCCATTTAAAATGTCATGTCCACCTCAGATTTGTATTAAACACAATACATCACTTGAGACGTGATGGAAATGACATTGTGGTGGAAATTCAACAAAATGAATTTCAACAAAATCACAGAAGTCTCTTGTGAGATATTTATGTCCCCTGTACAATAACGTTAGTGGTCAAATTAAATAATGTGTGAAAAGCGTGTTTGAAGAGAGTTTATTTTCTAAACGACCACAGGGCCAAAAGTGCTCTAAAGAAACACCCAAGCACTAGCGGATATTGGCCGTCCACACCCAGATTCCTGCTGATTAAGTGATCTTATTTACAGTAATCTGATTACTGAGGATCAGATGATCACTCACAAAGACACACACACATGCAAAATGAATTTCAACAAAATCACAGAAGTCTCTTGTGAGATATTTATGTCCCCTGTACAATAACGTTAGTGGTCAAATTAAATAATGTGTGAAAAGCGTGTTTGAAGAGAGTTTATTTTCTAAACGACCACAGGGCCAAAAGTGCTCTAAAGAAACACCCAAGCACTAGCGAATATTGGCAGTCCACACCCAGATTCCTGCTGATTAAGTGATCTTATTTACAGTAATCTGATTACTGAGGATCAGATGATCACTCACAAAGACACACACACATGCAAATATATGAAGAAGTGCTCTTTATTTACAAGAAAAGAAGGGCGTTTTTTTACGGTCAGTCTGTGGGTATCGGTTAGCAGAGGCTAAAATAAATGTATGAAGTTGTGGGAGGAATGTGAGACAGAGGGGCTGAGAGAGAGAGAGAGAGAGAGAGAGAGCAAAGTGAGACAGAGCAAGAGATGAAGAGGGGGATAAGGCGTCGAGTTGTGAGAATTATACCAGCTGGTGAGGGGATTGGAAGCCCGGGCTGGACTTTTAAACAAGGCAGCTGTGACCTCGTAATGAGTGATTCACACTCACACGTCACAGACATGCTAAAGTGACACATACACAAACACATCACAAATCAAACTCACAGCCAGAGCCGGATCCAGAGAATAAGTCCTCATCGTCGTAAAATCCATCTCCAGAACTCTCATCATCGCTTGGTCGAGATCTGCGACGCTGTGCCTTTAAAAAAAGAGAAAAAGAAGTCAGAAACATTTGTGCAAATCTACCAGAAGTGGAATGATTTAGCAGTACATTGTTTCAAAACCAATATCAGATTAACTGTGTGTGTGTTCATGTGTAAGTGCGAAGGGGTCTAGCGTGGGGAGCTGTTTCATCGAGAGGCCTGTTGCTAGGGGCAACACTTGCCTTTAACCCAATTTCTTAAATAGGGATGAAAATTCAGCAGAAAAAGAGTTCTCGACTGTCCTCAGACCCAACGTGAGAAAACTGTGGTCATCAAATGCACAAAAACCCTAGTAAAATAAATTCTAAACAAATTAGCAGTTCCCATCAAACATAAAAGTTTAGAGGCTCTTTCTGGCAACAAATGTCCTTTAAAAATATTGAATGTAAGTATAGTCACTAGTCAGCAGCCAACATGCTTAGAGTGACGCTTTCAAAAACAACATTACGTAACACCAAACCATTGGTGTAAAAGCACTACCCCCTCTTCTGAATCATTCTTTACTCTTGTGGTTGCTTTCCTTCCCCCCCCCCGCTCTCATGATTGGTTAGTCTCCATCCCAGCAACACCCCATAAATACTCAGACCCATAAACCGATCCCATGCCCTCCCAGTAATCCCCCATAAACACACAGACTGGCCCCAAAATGCTGTTAGTAATCAGCATGCACTTAAGCTTAAGAGCATCATACACAAACAGACACACTATTATAACTGTGCCCAGTTCTGTATCTGGTCTAATTACATATTATGCACATAATATAGCCTATATTTATGTGCCTTTATGTTTTGCATTGTAAGCATGTGTGATTCACTTATCACTTATATATATATATATATATATATATATATACACACACACATACTATGATACTATTTTATTTTTTTATTTTATTTTATTTTCCATGCTATTTTTTACAGCTCTTTACTATATTTAATAATTTTTATTTACATGCACGTTTAACAATACACTGCAATAATTTAAATATATACATACAAATAAATACATATTATATATAATATGTATCTATAACATTAATCACTAAGATTTTCTTTAATGTTTTTGGAAAGAAGTACTGATCAAAAATGCAATAAAAAAGTGAAACTGATTAAAATACTGTAAACACGATTACAATGTTTTGTATTTCTGTATTTTAAAATGTAATTTATTCCTGTGATGGCAAAGCTATATTTTCAGCAGCCATTACTCCAGTCTTCAGTATCACATGATCCGTCAGAAATCATTCTAATATGTTGATTTGGTGCTCAAGAAATATTTATTATTATCAATATTGTGCTGCTTAATATTTTGTAGAAACTAAAGATTCTTTGATGAAAAGAAAGTGAAAAAAAAAAAAACAGCATTTATATGAAATCTTAATCTTTTGTAACATTATAAATGTCTTTACTGTCACTTTTGGTCAGTGTCTTTCCTGAATAAAAGTATTACTTTCTTTAAAAAAAAACTGTTTTTATTAAAATATGTAAATATATTAACAAACACATATTTCCATTACCATTTTGAGGCAAACAAACAGTTTGAAACGCATCAAGTTTATACCAGAAACGTTATCTCAGTCTTAATGCTCTCATATTCAAATATAGTTGTGAGACAAGAAAGGACCTTTAGGGTATTATAATAGCCTGATAAAAAGCACATTTAAATCTAGGGCTGGGTATCGTTCAAAATTTTTCGATATCGATAACGATACCGATACCTTGACTTCGATACCGGTTCCTGAACGGCAAGTGCTGCAGGCTTATTGGCTCACTGATGCTGATGAGATTAACCCCTTAGGTATCGAAATTTGGTACCGAACGACAAAGACGTTTTTCGATACTCGATGGTATCGAGGCAATTCGGTCAGTGCCTAAAAAGTATCGAACTCGATACCCAGCCCTATTTAAATCACCACAATATTCATGATGCATAATGTTATATTACCGGCAAAATTTTTGTGACTATTGTGACTATATCACCCTCTCTAGTGCCAAACACATACTATTAATCTGAAGCAATTCCAGTTACTATTCTAGCCATTTTATCAACTAAACCAGCTCTAAATAGTGCTATGGATTTGTGCTGATCTTTTGTTAAGCTCAAAGTGCATGTGAACACTAGGGAATCAGATCCCACTGTGCCTCAATCTGAACTGCTATTAACCACAGGCCATTCACTAAATGCAATCAGGTCTAATGTGATTTCCTCTCCAACCTGTACAACACTCAGAAATACATGCTGCAGATGCACCGGACCTCCTTTCCAAATCACATATGTCTCTGCAAAACCTGGTGCTCAAGATGCAAGACTAAGCCAGTATGCATATTGGGATAGATTGTGTGTTTGTGGATGTCTGTATCCTCCCCTGTAATGGTGGGGTTGGTTTGTGGTGTAATTTGGTCTACGATATGATTAAGGGGTAGAATTGGCTCGCACAGCAAGGGTTCTTTCACAAACAGTTTGTGTGTGTGGGTGTGTGTGTGCGCGTACAGATAGAGAGGGGGTGTGGGTAAAAAAGCTTTTTAGAGTCAAATGTAAATATAACATCCATCTGTCTGGCGGCACATGATGACAAAAAAATACACTGTAGGACTGCATGACTATGAGTTTTCTTTGATATTGTAATTATGATTTTTAATTTTGATTTATAGAATTTGCATTATAATGCTTATTTTGTGTGAGGCAATGGGTACGTGTAAATCAAAATTCTCTTAGCAGCATAAAAATTATGAAATATAAATTTAAATGTTTTTCCAAAATACTTCTTTGAATAACTATAATATATTTATAATGGAATGCAGTAATTATATATATATATACACACATACATGTATTGTCCTCTCTTTCTCTGCCAAATTTGATGTTTTTCTTTACTGGCTTCTTTCCAGAGGAACAGCTGCGAGTATGACTTGAGATAGAGAGAGCGTGTGAAAGAGCGAGAGAAAGATCACTGTGTAAGTAAAGTTAAGAGGTGACTTGGTCACTAGGTGATGACCTCATTACCACAGAGTTAGACACACACAAATATCTGAATGCACATCTACATGTGCCAATTAAATACAAATACCAAAAAAACAAATGCATTACAGCACCTCCACCTATAAAACAGCTGACCCTCAAGTTTAAACTTTGTCTCTTGAAATGCATGTTATATATGTGTATGAAGTGGACAGCTGTTTCTGTAGGACAATCCTTAATCCAACTAGCAAGTGATCTCATAATCCCACGGGATTAGGACCATGTCGGATGCCCATATAGGTAAAACGCTGTGTGTGTCAGTATAAGAGCTCCTCCAAAGCATACAAGTATTAAGCATTTATGATGCGGTGACAAAAACTATCCCTGGTTTAATCAACAAAGCCTGGCACATAACCAAATTATTATACATTTTACAAAACTAAATTACTAAATTTGAAATCAGCAACCCTCTTTACTTCATTAATGTGACATATTTTAAATTAAAAAAGGATATTAAAAGAGAAACAATTGTAGGGTGGAGCTATATTTAATCGATCTGGAAATAACTGGGTTGTTAAAAGTGACAGGTGTTTGGAGGGGAGGGGTTGAAAAAAAGGAATTTTTAAAAAAAAAACTTCTAATTCAATTACATAAATGTATACAAAAACATGAATAACACTTTTTAAATTTAAGTTAATAACTATTGTTAAAAATATTTTTATTTATATTTTTATAGAAATTTGAAAGACAGAGAAAGAATAAATTTAAACAAGAAAATTTAAAATGTAAAAATGATTGTTCACAATAAAAATGTGTATTAAAGTAAACAAATGCATACAAATTTTAATTCATGCTCCTTGTAAGAGTCATTTTTTTTACTCAAACATAAAACAGTGGCTTCTGTCTTAGAAGAGAAATCTCAACTTCGTAATAAACGATTTGCTAGATTGGATGAGCAGTTAAGGCAGTTTTGGCTTGGGTTTTCCAAGTGTTATGTGGGGAAAGTGTCTGGAAAGCTTTCTGCTGAGAAGTTGCCATGGAAACACTTTCATGGTATATTATCCGAGTCATGACCGCTCTTCCCACAGGACAGCCAGCCTAAAACACCCGGAATCACTGCTGTCTGGGATAACAGGGTAAAACAGGGTTAACTCGCAACAGCATGTGCGTAACATGACCGCTGTCACAGACTTGTAATAAACTCAAAAGTGCAGATCAAGTGATTCGAGTATGCAGTGCTTGTGAAGTTTAAAGGACGGTATTGTGCGTGTATTTGTGTGTCCGTGTGTGTCTGGGTGAATGAACTCTTTCTCCTCGCAAGCAGATGGGGCTTCCTGTGGATCATAACTTCTCTTGTGTTTCTAAGAAACTTTTCAAAGGAGCTAAAAAATGCAGCCAGGGGCTAGGGAATGGCTTGCCTTTGTGAGTATGTGGGTGTGCATGTAAGGGCGAGTGTGTGTGCCAGTCTTTGTGATTATGAACAGTCCTCCCCCATTCCCAGAATCCTCTACTGTTCTCAGTGTGTGTGTTTGTACTTCTGTATGTGCCCGGAGATCCTCATTTCCCATATCTTTGGGGACAATCTCAATTTTGCTGCACAAATAAAAAGGAGGAGAAGGTACATAGAACCGAGGGAATAAGAGCGACTGCAGGTTTTCTAGAATAGCAGACGCTGAAAGTGCAATAGGAGCAATTCTGGACTATTATGGAGAGTTGTTGCTCAGTAACAGCATACCTGACTTGAGTACAGAAGTGGATGAGAAACACTGTGGAAATTTGGTCTACTGTCAAGTATTTAATAGCATCTACCGCCACTACAGAATCACACTTACCAATGTAGGATTGCGCATTTTATGTAATGAGATCATCATTTAGGACACAATATTATATTGGTTTTGTTTTGTTTTTCACAAAGTTAAACTTTATGTCCTGCTACAATCAGTTAATGGCTCAACATGTCTTTAAAGGTGAGTAAAATGAACAGATGGAGTTTTGTTCTCAAAAGTAAACATTCAAACACACAAGTAAGCAATGGAAA